AAACGGAAATGCTCCCTCTTTTCTGATAGGAGAACACTCATTTTTTGCACTGGCTTCCAGGAAGGTCAGGGCTAAATGCAAGAGCCAGCTCAGGCAGTGACACTGCTCTCCATTTGCTTCCACAACCTTTCCCTAGTCCAGTCCCATGTTTCCCTCTCATTTGTAGTTGACTGTAAAAAGCTACCTCTAATTCTTCCTTGGAAAGAAACATGCTATAAATATACTCTATTGAAGGGATGTATATTTGATGCAGAAGGCCTCCTCTTTGTCTCAGGACCTGGTGCAAATCTGTCACCTTTCCTGCACCAAGTACAGCATAATGAAGGGGAGCAAGTGGGCCTCTATCAGTGCTGCCCTTCAGGAGGTGGAGTGTTAAAGAGTCAGCAAGGCTGACCACCAGGTCTTCAGGCTTCCCGTATTACTACTCTCGTCTTTCTCCAAGAAACATTTTTAAGTTAAACCACAGTTTCTCAAATCCTTTCTGAGGGTACTGCCATTCTAAAGGTGTTTTCTGTTTTATACACACCTATTTGCTTTTATCCTCTCAATTTACTTGCAGAAATTTTTACTATGGTTGTTTATACTATACATATATAATATGCTATGAACATTTTTATGTATACATAAAATATATTTGTGTGTATATATGCACACATAAAATATATATGTTGTATATATGCATGTATATATAATATATATGTATGTATATATATATGTGATATATATATACAACATAAAATTTACCATGTTAGCTATGAACAGTGTAGTGGGTACTTCAGTGATATTAAGAGCATTTTTAGTTGTGCAAACACCTCTGCCCACTCCCAGAACTGTTGCATCCTCCAAAACAAATTCTGTACCCATTAAACAATAACTCCCACTTCTCCTCTTCCCATCCCTGCAACCTCTACTCTATGTTTTCTTATTCTAGATAACTGAGAAAAGTATACTCATACAGTATTTGCCCTTTTGTGTCTGGTTTATTTCACCTTATTTCACCTTGCATAATGTTTTTAATGTTCATTCTTATTGTAGCATGTCATAGAATTTCATTCTTTTTGAAAGCCTGTTAATACGTCATTGTGTATATACAAGTGTATATGTGTATATATATTTTATATATATCATATTTATTCATTCATTTGTTAATGGACACTGGCTTGTCTCCACATTTAGGCTAAAGTGAATCATGCTGCTATGAACACTAGTCACAAGTGTCCTTTGGAGTCCCTGCCTTCTATTCTTTTGGTCATATCCTGAGGAGTAGGCTTCATTGTTGCAGGGACTGTCCCTGGCAGGGCCAGACGGTAACAGGCCAGGGAAGGAGTTTGGAATTTATTATGATATATATATATATGAACAAGCCACAGACTCAGAAAAACAGTGCCACTCTGTCTAAAGCAGTAGTGATGGGGATGAATGGTGTCAAGCAATTGGGGCCTTGTGACAGTACCTCAGACAGGGGATCCAGAACATCTCATTCTGCTGACTTGGACACCTTGTCCTTTCATGAGACTCCAAACAGGGAGCAGTGGCAAAGGGCAGCCAAGGGTCAACAGCTCATTAGCGGAGTTTGCGTGAAACCACACCACAAAGCTCTGTGAACAACAGATGAAGTATATAGGGTTTATCTCCCAAAGAGTGTGTGCAGCCTTCCTTGGACTGCATAGCAGATGCTCAGTCTGTGTGGTAGTCTATGGTTCAGTGTTTCTTTATTTTTTTCCTGGGATATATTCAATGTACGGGGGCAGGATTCATTGTGACAATTTCAAATAGGTTTATATTGTACATTGGTTACATCGCCCCTACCACCTCTCCCCCTTAACCCCATCCCTGCCCTTCTGTGGTAGTTTAGATACCACCTCTCATCTTCCCGACTCTCCATCCTGTTCTGCACTGTGGTCTCTTAAGGGGACTTCCCAAGGTGGTGGCTTTGAGCTCACCTCGTGCATCTATGAGACTCTGAATTGACCACGGTCTTGTGCTCATCTTTGAATTCTGTTTCCAGACTGTGGTCAGGGCTCGGCAGCTGTCTGATTGTAGAATAAGAAATTCCTCACCCCTCCTCCTGGTCCTTCTGGCCCAACACCCTGAAGAATTAGCTTGGGAGCCACCCCAGCTGTCCTGCTATGTGACACTCTCAGCAGATACATCCAACATGGCATGCATTAGGTGGCCCATGTAAGGGAAGTCTATAGAATGGCTGAACAGGGCATCTTTCTTCCTCATCCTCCTCATCAGAACTTCATGATGTGAACAGTCCAGGGGCGTGAGCTCTCTCCAACTCGGGGTCCCCACAAATGCTCTTTCAGAGCCTGGTCAGTGTGATTACCAGACTGTGCTGCTCCTCCCTGGGTCATCCTTGTCTCACGTGTGTGCTGAGCCCCTGCCTTCCCTGTCCAGAGGATGTCCTGCAATGAGGAGTGTCTCCCTGCTGTTAGCAGCTCAGATCTGTAAGGAGGAAGAAAAGCATAAGGATGCTGCTGTTGGCAGAGTCTGTGTTTTCTGTTTTTTAAATAGATAGTGATGTGATGCTTACATTTGCATGTAAGAAAACTTTTTTGGTAGTACTGGGCCTTGTTTCCTAGGTGGGCAATCTACTACTTGAGCCAGGCCTCAGTACTTTTTGCTTTCTTTATTTTTTTGTAGAGGGTCTCATGTTATGCCTGGACCATGATTCTCCCATTTATATTTCCCACATAGCTGGGATGACCAGCCTGACCTACCATGCCCAACTTTGTGATGGTTAAGATGGGGTGTGTGGGGGGGTATTCTGCATGAATTTTTTGCCTGAGCCACCTCCTGAGTAGTTAGGATTGCAGGTTTGGGCCTTGGCACTTAGCCTAGAAAATATTTTTTGATCACCTACACTGCTCTTTGTTGGAGATACAGTGGTGAGGAAGATCCAAGTCCCTTTTTCAGGAGCTTCATAGGGGAGGAATAACAAACACATAACTCACATCAGATAGTGATAATTGCCATAAAGAAAACAGGATAATGGGATGGGGACTGGGCAGAGGCAGGAGATGCAACTCAACCCTGTGCTCCAGATAGGACCTGAGAACTGCATGGTAAGTGGAAATCAGTGTCAGCAGAGAGAAAAGAAGCCATGGTACAGACAAGAATTTGACCTGTTCTAAGGACAGAGAAAGCTTAGGAGTATAAAGAGAGCAGAGAGAGAATAGGGAAAGGAGGGCAGATGAGATGAGGGCTGGATCTGTGGTCCTCACCCTGACTGCACATCAGAATTTATTCATAGAACTAAAAAACTTTCCAGTGTCCAGGCCCCACCCCAAAGATTGGGATTTAATTGGCCTGGGGTGGGGCCTGGACACTGGTATTTTATAAATGTTCTCCAGGGAGTTCCATGGTGCAGCCTGGGTTGAGAGCATCAGTTTTGATCATGCAGTGTTTTACAGACTCTGGTAAGGAGATGATTGTAGTTGCATGACAGTGGGAAGCCATTGGACAATGTGGGCTAGAAAGTAACAAGATCTGACTTAGGTCTTTAGCAGGCTCACTTTGGCTACAGTGTGGAGAGATGGGGTAGGAAGTGGTTACAGTGCCCCACTTGAGAGGGCATGGTGGCTTGGCTCAGGATGGTATCAGTTTGGTGATAAGTTTTGGAGGTGTGGTCACAAGATGGATGGAATTTTGAATGTGAGGCAAAAGGACATCAAAGTAGCTTCATGGTGACCTGAGTTGCTAGGTGGATACTGGTGCCATTAACAAACACAGGACGGATTGGAAAGGAACAAGCCTGAGAGGTAGGTGAGATAATTGTGTGCACTGGTTAGAGTAAAATCCTCAGGCTGGTTTTTTTCTCTTTACATTTTGGTAACTTGTGAATATAAGCAGCCAAATGAGATTGACTAAAATACCCTGTGAAATCCTATGCTCACAGAGCTAAGAGTTTTCTTGAAGCCTTCCAAAGTTTTCACCAAAAGCAATTCTCTATTTTAGTGTATAGAACCTTTGACAAGAAGGTCAATGGTGAAGATACTAGCTTCTTTCATGCAGGAATCACACTCTACTTTGAGAGCTTGAATGCATATGGTCACCACCTGTCCTGCTATAATAATTGACCAGCATGGTGATATGTAGAATCCAAAATAGCAGATGAAAGAATTTGTATTTGACTTTAAGAGGCTTTTCCCCCTAACCTACTTCTCTTCTAAGACATACCTAGCTCATATTATAATTATAATTAACATCTGGATGTCCAGCTGTTAATAGCAACCCAGATTGTCAAGACAAGATCAAATTATTAGAATTGCTTAAAAGCCATATAAATAGAGAACAATGTGGAATTTGTTAAAAGTTTGCTATTTTTTTCCCCTGATAGAAGAGAATTGCCTAAATTGCAAAGGTGGATCAATTTAGGTTGATACAGGAGTGGGGGACAGATGTTATGTCTGTTGAGAGCAAAAACAGTTTCTTCTTTTTTAATGGATTTCATTGTTCTATTTTTATAATGCATATGAGGTTCTGCAATCATATTCCTTTGCAGCACCCCTCCCCCAGCATTTTCTGTTTTTCAAACTGCCTAGCATCTCCACTCATTCTGAGGCTTTCTGTTTGTTTATTAAATTACTAGATGTTTTGAGCTGAAACTCTGGGGTCAGTGCTGGTCTAAATAGCTGAGCAGGAGAGTTGGCCAGAGACTTCTGAAGTGCTACCAACACTTTCTGGTCATTCTTTTGGTCTCACTGAAGAAACTCTAGGATGTGTCTGCCTTTGTGTGAAAGGCATGAGAGCATTCGCAGACATCTAGAAAATGCCCAGGGCCTGAATCTCCTTAATAAAAAGCTTTACATTGTCTGTGAGCCTCAGAAGCAGTGCCTACAGCCTGGGAGATGAAGCTAGATATGTTGAACTTTGGAATGTCCAGTTCCAGTGCTCTTCCATTTCACTTGAGTGAGTCCCTCGTGGTGAACAAAACAGAGGGCGTTTGTTGCCCATCTGCCTACTTAAGGAACTCTGTCGTCGTTCTTTCACAGATAACTGCAGTGACCTGAACTCAGAACTTCAGAGGGTGTTGACAGGACTGGAGAGTGTTGTCTGTGGCCGGAAGAAGAGCAGCTGCAGCCTTTCTGTGGCCGAGGTGGACAGGCACATCGAGCAGCTCACCACAGCCAGTGAGCACTGTGACTTGGCTATTAAGGTAGACCTCCTTCCCCCTCTGCCTAGCTTGCTAGTCTATGGAAGGGCAATGGTCAGACCCCTCTGTTTTTAAATTTAATTTTCTTTTGGTGATACTGGGGTTTGAACTCAGGGCTTCACACTTGCTAGGCAGGTGCTCCACTACTGATCCACACCCCCAGCCATTTTTGGATTTGACTGTTTTTCAGGTAGGGTCTGGCATTTTTGCCTAGGCCAACCTGGACCACTTATCCACTTACCTATGACTCCCATTAGCAGGGATGACAGGCACGTGCCACCACACCCTCCTTGATGTTTGCAATGGGGGTCTGGCCAACTTTTTTGCCACAAGCTGGCCTTGAACCACGATCCTCCTGATCTCTACCTCCTGAACAGCTGGTGTTACAGGTATGAACCATTGTGCTGAGTCAAGCCCCTCTCTTGAAGTGTGGTTTTCTCAAGTACCTATTAGGGATTGAAAACTATAAAACAGATTGGGCCACCAAGTAGAAGCAGGAGCTTAGGACATTTTCATTGGGGTGAATTACTTTGCAAAGGGCTTTATGTCAAAAACATCACTGCCTTTGCAATAAGGACAGTTTACTTTGGCAGCCATGAGATTACTAATGTTGACCAATCATTTTTGGGTGGTTCATTAGCACATGCTTGAGTTGCACTTTTGCCTTAGAAGCTTTGTTAGTGCTTCAAGGCCACTGGAATACAATTCCAACAGTTTTCCTCCCATGTTGCTAAGGAAAGGAAGGTTCAGGGCCCAAGTCATCTCATCTCCAGCTGTGCAGCTGTCCTGGGCCATGCTTTGACAGGCAATCATCTTCCTGCTGAAGAAGGAGCAGGTGAGGGGAATTCTGTGTATCTGCACCAACTCATCCTGAACAATGAGAATGTCAAGCCCTGTTAATCCTGGGCCTCAGGTGCCTTCAGTTACTTCACCATGGATTAGCGAGCCCAGCCTAGAGGTTCAGACTTCAAAGTCTGGAGGATCTTATGCAAAGGGATAGTCTAAGCCCAAGTTTCTGTCAACAGGAAGCCTGGATTTCCCAAGAGAGCTGTGGTCTCAAGTGAACCCTGATGTATGTTTACACCACAGCTGGCTTTACATCCTTATTCATCTCAGTTGCAAATATATAGGTGATAGGGTTTGGGATGAAGAGAAGCAGTTACTGGTGTTTCTTTCTCTGGAGTCCCCCAGGCCCTATTGTCAGTTGTAATGCCAATTTGCATGCCAGCTCCAGCTTCAGCATTGGGAGAGAAAGAGGACAAGGACTTCTCCCAACCAGCAAGGGACAAAGTGGGTTCTGGAGCAGAGCCACGTAGGATAAAAGAGGGACAAAGCACAGAATAGAGGAAGCAACAGCAAGATTTGGTACCTGTCTTCATTAGGGGATCTGAAAATGGCATGTCCTCATAGTCAGTGTTTGAGACCTTGTGTTTCTCAGCATATCCCTCTGTTACCTGCCACCTTTTCACAACAATCCTCCCATCTGTTTAAAAAATAGCTGGCTTCCTTTTGCAAAGGCTAAGTCATGTGAGTGGATAGTGTCTGAGAGCACCCAGAATGAGTTCCTTTTCTTCTTCTAATTTTATGCATCTTTTTTTTGCATGAATACTGCGTTTTAAATGAATTCTTAAGATCTCTCCAGATACTATGAAGATTCTCTTCTCTGTAGTTCAGAGCTATTTAATTCATGAAATCCTCGCTGTCTGATAAACCTCCACAATGAGCTGCTGCTTTTTCTGTGCAACCAAGGTTCATTTTTGTCTTTTACATCTTGGGACTGATCCTCATTGACATCATCTGAATTCTTGTGCGACACTAAAAGCAGAAAATGGTGATCTGTCTGATTGCTGAGCTGGTGCATGGGAGACCTATAATTTAGAAAACTTCCCAGTAGGGTTCCTATGCAGTTTGTAAACTCCTGTTAGTCCCTGCGTGTTCACCAACTATGGAGCTCAGGTGAAGGAGATGAACAGCTGTGTGTGAACATGGTGGATAGCACCACACAGAGGCTCAGCACTGGGAAGAGACTGTGTTTTCCTTACTGCGGGGACTGCTGGGTAACACAGAATATGACCCAGGCCAGTGAGACTGGATGATTTGGGGATGGTGCAGGTCACGATCACCATGTGCTGTGAAATGATGTTAGAACCCACTTCTGTGTATACCTGATCCAGGGCAGCCTGTTTTCTTCCTGTCACCTTTATGGCTTTTCTTGGTGGTTGTGTTTTGCAGACAGTTGAGGAAATCGAAGGAGTGCTCGGCCGGGACTTGTATCCCAACCTGGCTGAGGAGCGATCCCGGTGGGAGAAGGAGCTGGCTGGGCTGAGGGAAGAGAATGAGAGCCTGACAGCCATGCTGTGCAGCAAAGAGGAAGAACTGAACCGGACCAAAGCTACCATGAATGCTATCCGGGAGGAGCGTGACCGGCTCCGGAGGAGGGTGAGTGAGTGCCCTGGTCGGTGTAGCCAGGCCTGTTCCTGCACAGGAGTGAGAGATGTGGACAGGTAGAGCCAAGGGCAGTCCAGAATTTCACTGAATCTCAGTCTTGGGAGTCACCAGCCTCTTCCCATTGTAAAGTTGTTTTTCAAACTAGTTTAAAAATACTAAGATGGTTGGATGGATAGGAGGAGGGAAACAGGGGAAGGAAAGAAGGAAAAAGAAAAATATTTTTCTTGAGGGAGGGAGGGAAGAAATCCTAAAAGAAGAAAGGAGGGAGGGAGGGAAGGAAGGAAGAAAGAAAGAAGAACGCTTCTGGAAGGTAGGAGGGAGGATGGAAGAAAGAAAATAAAAACACTTTTCTGGAAGGAAGGGAGAAAAAAACACTTCTGGACAGAAGGAGGGAGGATAGGAGAGAGAAAAAAAACACAATTCTGGAAGGGAGGGAGGAGGACACTTTTCTCAAATCCTACATCTAAGTGGCTGGTGAAACCACGTCAGGGCATTGATTCTGAGACTACTCTCCCAGGTGTACTCGTCTTCCCCAAGCTCAATTAAAATGTTCTTCTCTTAGGATAGTCTACTTTTAGAGTTGAAAAATGTAGATTTTTTTCCCCAATTTTTCCTACACAATTTTCTTTAACCTTCTAGTAACTGCTGTCACTTATTTATACTGAATCCAATGTAAAATATCATCTCTTCTAGTAAAGGCATATTAAAATAAAAGCCATATATATGTGTATGCATGTGCATATGTGTGTGTACCTACACACATGTGTGTATTTGTATACATACATGTATGTAGGTTTTCTTGTGTGTGCGCACAATTCCTGGTATTCACTCTGGGGCAGGCTGACACAGTTTGAAAAGCACTTTGTTTAGGACCCATGTCCATTATTGAAGGCACTGATATTTCAGCATAGAAATATTGGGCGGAATTGTTTAAGCACTCAGTTTTCCAAAGATGTGGGATTTGTTTCTTTGTTTGGCTATGAGTTTGATCTGTGATCAGAGTGGGGGTGAAGAGAGGAATTCTTCAACAGGAAGCCATTCCTTCTGTTCTTCACTTTGAATTACTAGACCTACTTTGGTCTTTCCTGATCTAGGCAGTATTAGGGGGTTTCTTTTGAGTCATGCTCTGGCTGGTAGTTTTGTACACAAAGCAGAAGTAGGGGGAAGAATGCACTCCGTAGGTTCCACAACCTTCCCCCTTACTGTATCTCCCTAACCTGTAAAGAACGCCATGGGAGTAACTTGTTCCTCAGTAAGGTCAGCATGTGTGAATCATTCTGGGTTTTAATCCATATGCAACCTGCTTAGTTGTCATAATGTATGAATAGGGAGGAAATTACTATTTTTGAACGTCATCAACTCTGTCGTTTGTTTGTGGCTAATGTCGTAATTAAAGGGCAGCACTCCCACCTTTATCCGAATATCGACTCACATGTGCGAACGTGTTTTCAGTGCCCAGCTCTGTCTGCTCCATTCTCCACACTTGCATCAGCAGGTGGAAATCATCCCAGTCAGCAAAGGCTTTATCTAGAGATCCTGATGACATTCAGGGATGCCCACACGCCCCGTCATTTCCTGGTCACACCCCCGATCTTCATGACTAATGCCCTAACCAGGAACGTGCTTACACTTGATGTGTGTGTTGTGATGGTGCATGTTTTGTGGGGGTTATAGGTGTAATCAATAGGTTGGTCATAGATATAATCCCATACTGTGCTTTAGAATAAATTTCTTTCTCTAACTCAAGTCCCCAAAGCACAACAGAACCCTTGACTGTGACTGGCAAGAATCAAAGCCTCTCACCTCCTTTGTTTGCTCCAACTCTGAAGGCCAGGCTTAAGAATCTGTAGGGTGGAGGTATTTACATTAAATACTCAGGCTCTGTATGCAGCCACACTTCCTGGGGTGGTAGCCTGGCCTGGAAAGTCACCAGGAGTCTTTACAGGATACCTAACCTTACTGTGCCGTAGTAAATGAGGATAACAATATTACCCAATGCAGAAAAATGAGGCAATACTCATAAAATAGTCACACAGTATCTAGCACATAGTAAATGCTCAGAAAACAAGTAGTACTTGCTTGGGATAAAATCCAGATTTCCATGTTGAGTGGTATGGAAAATTTAGCTCCATCCATGTTTTCTTCTTTTTTTTTTCTATAAGAATCCCTAGCTATTTGAACAATTCTACCATGGACATTGAATAATTGTATATACACACATGTATATGCATCTGATCACACATACACATCTTAGTCAAAATATTTCTTTTGATCATATTTACAACCTAAGTCTGTGCCATTAATAGGCTTTTATATGGATTTATATAATTTGTATTGTAATCACCTCCAAGTGGTAAAATTTCAAGGGACTTATATCTTTTACTGAACTGTGAATGTTCTCTGGAATTTATATACATATCTGTGAATTAAACTTCTTTGTCTTTATTTCTAGACAATTGTGGGTCTCAGAGAATTTTCCAGATGCCTTCAAATGCTAGTTGCCTAGATTTAAATGTTGAAAGCCTTTTGCCCTCACCACCTGCCCACTGTGGCCCATGCCTTGGGGAGGGATCTGCCCTTTGCCACTGGCCTTGTGTTCTGTTCTTTACCATGTGTAGCTTTGCAGGGAGACTGGTGTGGTTTCATTTTCAGCCCTGTGATGCTAAGTAACATGTGGCTGGTTTTGTGACCCTTCTGAGTCCACAGTTCATCAAAATTGCCTGAAAAGTGATTACAGCCATAATTTTTTTTCCTTTGCCACATAGATTGCATAGAATTTTAACTGACCAGATCAATATGATTGGTGCTTGCCCCCCGACTGCAATTAAACAAAGTGCTCTCTGGCTCTCTGTAGGTCTTCTGAGCCATGTTTAGGATTTAATTAAATTAGCTCTTTAATATAGTGAATTAACAAAGTGGGCTCCTTGGCAGAGCAGTAACTAAGGAACAACAGGCAGACAAATTTTATTATTGGTCCCTGTTCATTATTAAATCAGGTGATCACTTATTTCTGAATGCTCTGTAATATAATCATTTATTTCCTCACACTTAAGGAAGCAGGCTCAATCTAGCCAAGGCACAATTAATTACTCCACCCAGAAAGCACTTTGCCTGTCTTCCATTCACTTATGTGCTTCCTAAGCATGGTTGGTCACCTCTGTGCCAGACAGAGGGTTTCAAAGGTAAAGCCCTGACTTCAGGGCTACTGGGAGGCAGGCAAGTCACCAGGTCATTGCAATGGTGTCTGTCAAGTGGCAGTGATGAGGAACACAGAGAGTGCCCTGGGAAGTCACAGGAGAGACATGCAATGTCAGGGTATGGCTTCTCCACAGTCTTTATTTCTTACATAGATTAATTTTTTACCTAGATCAGCTGTGAAATATCCAAATTGATCAGCACTTTCCCCAATCTGTATGGAAAAGCAAACTTGATGGGATCACAAGGCATGTGAACCCAGACTTGAAACATAAATAGGCCACACGAGTTCCTTCTGAAACTTCATAGGTTATAGGTTTCTTCCTTGGGCTCTGGAGGCCAGGCTGGCTTCAGGCTTCAAACTCATAATCCTTTTGCTTGCCTGAATCTTGGGTTACAGGCATGTACCACCATGCCTGGCTTATTTTCTTTTAAGCTATAAGCAAGCACTCTAAACTCCTTTTTTAAAATTTATTTTATTCATTTATTATTATTATTATTACTATTATTGGCAATACTGGAGACTGAACTCAGGCCCTCACACTTGCTAAGTGGGCATTCTTCCACTTGAACCTTGCCCTCCGCTCTTTTGGTTTTTAGCCTATTTTTTAGGTTAGGGTCTCCCTAACTTTCCCTTGGCTGACCTTGGACCATGATCTTCCTACTTCTGCATGTTCCATCACACTTGGCTAAACTCCACATTTTTAAATGGCTGCAATTGGGTTCCAAGGCCAGGAAGGGGATAAGGGAAATCCCATAGTGCTTCAGAGCCCTTTTTAGTCCCTTTCATGTCATCATCCTTAGCAGGAAGTAGCATCAAATTACTGATAACATAGCACCTTTGGAGGACAAGGAGCTAGGAAAGGAGACATGATAGGAAAAACATGGCTAGGAAGGGAGACATTTCCTTAAACATTATCATTCTCTAGTGATCCATTTACTCCATAAGATTTTTAAAGTAATAATCTTGTCATGTTCTCCTTTGGGCCACTTTTAAGTTTGTGATACGGCAGGAGAGACAGGGCTGCATCGCTTCTGCTCAGTCACATACAGCGAGATCAGGGTGGAGTGGGTGCCTAGTGCTGTTCTGCTCACCCAAGTGTGCGATACCCAGGGTCAAGGAACTCTCTGGCTGAGAGCAGGGCATCCTCTTTGAACTCGCCACTACCAAGTTCTGGCTGCACTGATGCCAGCCTCTAAATATGTAATATTTAGATGGAGTCCACCTGCAGTATTTACTGTCTCCAAAGACACTTGTTGATTAGAGGTTGTGTGTAAGGAATTGGAAAGAGTCTGTGTTACACAAAGGCCCACTTAGGGAGACAGGTGGACCTAAAAGGTTGGCTGTAGACTTCCTTATGTGCTTCTTCCTAGTAATTGACTTGTAGCCCGTAGTTCGCCCTAACTAGGAATGTTACAGGGCCAAACTGATGCAGCCAGAGCAGGATCTGGCTGGGAATCAGCCATTCTTTACATCCTCACTGTCTCCTATGATGTGCTAAGTCAGTATCTCTGTGATATTTTTAACAAAACGTCAGTCACGATGAGGATATTTCTGGCAGTGAAACAACTTAAGGTTGTGAGCTTAAGTACATTGACTCATCTGTATTTTACCTACAAACCTCTTCCAGCCCCATCTGTGTGGTTGGTTGGCCCCCCACACTCCCCCCTGCCTCTGCCATCATGCTTTTCCTCACCACAGTTCTGTGTGTGCAAACAGAACTGTGTATTTACTATGTACTTATCGATAATGTAAGTTTATATTTACTTTGTATTTACATGTGTATATGTACAAATATTTAAAACAGACCAGAACAACATAAACCAATATTATAATAGTTACTAACGGTGGGGGGGAAGGGGAGATACC